TTACCATATGATTGTTGTGGAACCAGGTCTGTTAGTTTCACCCTGTGCATATACATAGTACGATGAGCTGAAGACCCGTCAACAAACTTATCTACACTTCCTGTTGCCTTCAAGACTAGTGGTCCACCCTTCTTGTTGTATTCAACAATAGAGTCTGTAGTAAGGTCCATGGTTACCCAGGTAACAACCATTTCTGTTACATTATCTATTTAACAGAAATATGTATAGTGATGTCATTTTTTGGGGATATTTAATAAAATATTGTGTTGCATATAGTCAGCACTAGATCGAGTTTTGTATTTACATTATACAAACAATTGGAGTTAAAATATGTAACACTTCCTGGAAAAGCATAAAAAGTGTAAGGTCCAGTCAAAAAAGAACAAAAATGTTATTTATTATCTTTTCTTCGTCCTATTCATGGTATCGATAACTCTGTATGTGTTGTTATTACTCAGGTGATTTTTGAACATGTCATGRCATGTTATGTAACAACGCTACCAACCGCGCTGTTCTCGTCTAGCTAGAACTCTACAACAATCATGACGTCCAAGCTTTTCAAGTACGTTTAGCTCGAGAAACTAGGTGGAAAGAGAGGAAATRCTTCTTAGTTATTCGCTTAAAATGTTTTCATGTTAGCTTTTGACCAGAGTTACTTTGACTGGAATAAAACTTCAAAGGCGAATACAGACTGTAGACATCCAGAGTATCAAAACAAATTTGCTTCAAGAAAACAACAGAATTTGCCAAACTATTAAGCTTATATATACTCTGACTTACTTGTGATTGATAGATGTACTTGTTCTGGCTGTTGGCTTGTTTGAGCCGATATGTGTCCAACAAGGACAAGTCCAACAACGTAGAAAATCACCATTTTGCGACTTTGAAGAAGAAGTGAGAGTCACGTGAATCTTTATTGTCTTTTATTGTCTTCGTTCCCAGGGCTTCTCTGTTTGCTGACTAAAGCTTTACGCAGGGAAACCAACACCACGCAATAAGGCTTTAATATTTCAGCTTCAGAAACTGGAAACTGATAAATGGTTAAGAATGRCACTGACAACTGAAAAACAGTGTTAGTTTCAATTGACTTTTCCAAATTGTTCACAACAATCTTAAAAATTATAAAGCGTTTGCTGCCTGTGACACCTTGGAACGCACACGAAAATGGCAGCTTCCGCCACAGCATATCTTTTGCTGGTGTTTTGTATTGGATTTCAGTCATGTTTGAGTCAAACTAGCCAGCAGCCACAACAAGTTCACCTTTCTGCGACAGGTACAGTTTTTTGTCATGTATTTTTGATTAGGAACTATAAAAAATTTAGAAACTCTTACTTAGCTTATGAGAACCGCGTTATGTAAGGTTAATTTAAGCTTAGCTTAACTTTTAAGTTGAATAGCGAATAGAACCGACTATATTTAAGATTAAGACTTTGTTAATAGAGTCTATTCCGAAAACGTTTTTATAAGTCAGGCATAACTAGCTATGACTATGTTGTATTGCACTCATGTTTCGGCACAAGATAAAATTTTGCTGTGCAACAAGTGGTCATGTCACATGACCCCCATGAGCCTGCAAGAACTAGGGAACTCTCTATTGTTCTGCGGCATAGCAAGTTCCCCATTTACGAATGTCTTGGTTTTCACACTGATTATGTATCCATCTGTGGGTAACACATTTTTGAAATAAAATGTGGATAAACTCTATTTTGAAACAAAGTTTCTTTTGTATTAAAAGCTCTTATCCAATCATAAGCTGAGATCTCAAAACAATAGCCAAAAGATGCTTCTAATTTGCTATGTTCCCCACGTAGAATTGCCTTAATATTAAAGCTAAAGAAAGCTTTCATGAAAGCGAAAACAGACATTAAATAARATATTAGAAAATTCGCTAACTTGTGAAATTATAGCAGATTTTCATGTTTTAACCAATGGGATGGATGGATTATACAATGCGCAATTAGCACCTTCTTGCATTCCTGTGCCGTTTRCTTCCCTAGTTCTTACTCGGGGCATTACTTGATTTCTAAAATGTGCTYGACATTTTCCTACAAAATGCAAAACGTTTCRGTGCAGAGAAGTTAGTTTACCATTAAAAACAGATACTGCTGTCAGATCTTGTCTCAAGATTTTGAATATCAAGAAAATTGAGAAAATAAATTTTCTGGAAATGGTCATGTGACCCATTTTGTAAATCTGACAAGGATATTGTGTCAATAATTTGATGATCAAGTGCACYGGTTGTCTGCTCTGTATTGGTGAGAGCATTTTCATTGGTTATAAATTAAAATCCAAARCTTGCTCATCATGTTGATTTGATCTCTCATGTGGAACTGCCCGACCGGTTAGCTCAGTAGGTAGAGCATCGGAATTTAGTGCGGGAGGTCGCAGGTTCAAACCCCGGCCGGACCAATACTCAGGGTCTTAAAATAGTTGAGGAGAAGTTGCTGCCTTTGTCTTTCTCCRTCTGCAAATGGTAAGATCTTCGCGTCCTCTCGGATAACGACGTAAAATYGGAGGTCCCGTCTCTCTACACTTCACTCACTAACCTGTATTAGAGGGACGTTAAAGAACCCACACCACTGTTCGAATAAGAGTAGGGAATGATTCCCGGTGTGTGTGGCTAGGCCTTACTACTAACCCATACTAATTACTAACCCCTCAGGATTGTAAGCCGCGTGGCTGCCAATTGCGCCTTAAATAGTGGTCCGTGTGAAATGATCTATAYATGTGAAGCGCCTTTGAACTCAGAGGATATCGGCGCTATATAAATACCACATATTATTATTATAATTATTATTATACAGCCTTTTGCAAAAATTATGAGAATTGTCTAAATGTCTAAATATCATAATATCCATATCCATATGTTGTCCGGAACACGCGGGTTTGCTAGAATAATTCATTGTGTTGACATCGAGAAAATGTTCAGAACTACGGATAAGTCCATTGTCAAAAAAACACTAAACTACAAAGACAAGGGACTAAGGGCATCGTGCAGGATTACCCATCATGCACTTGATATTATGATATTTAGATATTTCAACAATTCTCATTATTTTTGCAAAAGGCTGTAATGGCAATCAATACTAAAATATATACATGTATTTGCATATTTGTATTACACCTTGTCATTTTTGAAGGCATTTTTACAAAGCATTTTGGCACCTCCTCGGTGATGTGATATTATTGATATTTCAATTTTGTCTTGGCTCTATGATGATATCACCTTTTCAAACCCAACTTGTTATTTTTTTCAATTTTAACCTATCTTATGCAGATGTCTGCAATGAGTCACTGTGAGAACCATCCAATCAAGCATTGTCATTGGCAGAAATAGGAGTCATTTATGAATTCTTTTGTAGATATATAGAAATTTAAATTMTTTTTTGAAGCTACCTTTTTTGTTTTATTGAATTTTCCCTCCATATTCTGCTTTATCAGCTAAAGATTTTTAATGGGAAGAAATACATTTGTAGAGTGGGTTAGGGTTAGGGTTATATCTATTAGGGGAATATCTTACTGTTCCAATCTCTCCTTTACTATTAAGGAAATGCAACAGAGATGGTGGTTTCCTGGGTAACCATGGACTTCACAACAGATTCTATTGTTGAGTACAACAAGAAAGGAGGGCCGCTTGACTTGAAAGCTAATGGTATAGTTATCAAGTATGATGTGAATGCTGGTACAGCTAAAAGAACCATGTACATGCACAAAGTGACTTTGACTGGACTTATTCCTGGACTATCTTATGGTAAGAGTATACACCACTGTTATAAGTGCCTACCATTAATTTTATATACTATTGACAATATTATGGAGACATTCAGCATTGCCATATGGAAGAACTATCAGAAATAGGTCGTTGCAGAAAGCTTTGAAGCCATAAACTAAGTACTAATGAAGTTATGGAGGAATAARAATACAAGGATTTGTATGGAATTCTTTTGCTAAGGACTTGGTGGCCTCGTTTTGGTGTTTTTGTTCCTCTTCTAAACCTTATAACTACAAGAGGATTTAATATTTATCTGTGAAACTTTCAGAACTTATTTTAAGCTTTGATATCTATCATCTGAGGGTTACTTTTTGTCAGTATTATGAATTTGACAATAATATGCTAATTAGTGCCAGCCATTATGAAAGTTGTCAATAATAGTCTTGTCCCTAGTGTGTAGTTGTCAATAATAGTCTTGTTTCTAGTGTGTAGTTGTCAATAATAGTCTTGTTTCTAGTGTGTAGTTGTCAATAATAGTCTTGTCCCTAGTGTGTAGTTGTCAATAATAGTCTTGTTTCTAGTGTGTAGTTGTCAATAATAGTCTTGT